TACCAGACCCATTTGGGCTATATTTGATTAAAGGTTTTTTGTATTGTTCACTTTAAATTAATATTATATGAAGACCCTTTAACAAAAAAACAAAAAAAACACCTCCGACAGAAGTATAAGATATTATAAAAGCAAGAGATAAACATTTTTAAAATAAGAATTTTCTTTTAGTAATTTAGTATTTAAAATAAAAACTATTAAAATAATATATGTTAGATATTCAACGAGTTTATTCCTGTTGACGATGCTCATAGTTAGTTAACTAACATGACATTTCATTGTAAAGTATAAATGAGCGCGAAATAGTGGTTGTCGAATTGAGCCAATGTAATGTACGAACAAGATATACAGATTTTTGTAATCTGATGAGACACTATTGCTTTAGTTTGAGTCTTTAGTTATTCATTTTATTTAATTGTTGAGATTATGTGTGTGCAAATAATGGTGAGTGGCTTCTTAAATTATAGGACGATATTACAATTTTTCCATTTCTTTATTATTTTATATATTTTGCTTCTATATAAAATAATGGAAAACCAAAGAGATGTAGTCTTAGCTACCCTTGTATTTTCGTTTCAAGTGTTGCTCTTGATCAATAATTGATTGGTCTTTGTTGGGACTTCTATCATAATCCATCTTCTAGAAATTCTGATGCTTCTTCGATTTTCGCTAAAGATGGTTAAGCAGGATGGGATTGCGACACAAGTCAACATTGCGACACAAGTCAACAAATTAGAATATCTAATGGATGTCTGCGTTATGATTTTTAACTATTTTCAAATCATCAATTACATTATTATCATCAAAGATTTTAGTATATAATATAATGATTAGTTGCAAAGCACATGCGATTATGATAAAACAATTTTTTTAATGCAAGTATCTTCATAATAGATTGTGGACTTAGTGAGGCTCGACAAGGACAAATGGACTTCAAGGTGATTATGGCCCAGCGATAAAAGGAGGAGAGATTGGTAATGGGCCTTGCGGATTGGTTCTGGCCCAACAAGGTATCTGTTAAATCTGTTACAATAGATCCGAAATAGAATAAGAGAAGGAAGAAGCAAGATCGAGCTTATATATACAAGGAATCAAGACTTGATCGATATATATATATAGGAGATACAAGTTTCTTCTTCAACTTAGGGTTTTTACCTCTTATTCTCTAAGTTTTCTTATTCTCTAATCTCATATAGATCTCTCTTGTAAACCCTAGACTAAACCGCCATTGATAAGGCGTGTGTAAGCTCTTGTTCATCTTTCTAGTGGAGTTTGGGAAGAGAGTCTCCCACGAGAAGTACCAGTCGTTGGCTGGGAACTCGTTACGTCTTGGTGTTCTTTACGTTCCTGCAAAAGTAATCACTAGATCGAATCGATAACAAGACCAAATCAGTTGCTTCCACAATAAGTAATCTCTACAAGTGGTATCAGAGCATCAAGGGGATTGCTCGGGACAGTTAGGGTACAAGAAGGAAGAGATCGGAGTCAAGGATCTTACCGGAGAGAAGATTTTCGGTGGTTAGATCTGTTTGTGATCACAGCTTGAAGGAGTTCTATCTGCTGCGGGATCACAAGGTTGAGAGGGATCGTATTCAAGGTCTGGGAAACAATCAAAGGCTTTTGATTGTAAGAAGTCAAGTCCTGCACAAGATTTACATCAATAAGTGGCATCCGAATCAAAGCAGTGAAAGATAAAGAAAATCAGCTACAAGATCAGAGATAGAGTCAGGGCAAGAAGATTACCTTAGGCTCAAGTTGTTTCTGATATACTCTTGTTTTCTTTAGCATCTTCCTTTTAGGTTTCCATTAGGTACTTCTTCTGTGTGTGTATTTTGAT